TTCTCGATGCAAGGCATGGGTCAGCTCGGTGCGGCCGTCGTGGCTTTAGTCACTGCCGAAGCCTTCAAGGACTCCTACCTCGACGTCCACACTCTCGGCGACTGCCACGCACGATGCCAGCTTGCTGCCGACCGCTCATGGCGCATCATCGTCGGCATGGGCGCCGTGCCCGCCTGCATAGCATTGTACTACCGAATCACGATCCCAGAGACGCCTCGATACACCTTTGACGTGGAGCAAGACGTCGAGAAGGCCGATGCGGATATCCGCGCGTACATGGCGAGCAAGTCAAAAGGTGATTACGATACGGATTTACAGTTCAAGATGAAGAAGGAGACCGGTCCCGGTTACAACACTCCGGCGGCATCCTGGCCTGATGCCTGGGCATACTTCACGCAGTGGAAGCACTTTAAAATGCTTTTGGGTACTGCCTTTTCCTGGTTCTTCCTTGTGAGTCACACAACACTCGAAGAAATCACTTGGTCTAGTCATACTGATGTGCGGAACAGGATCTGGCTTTTTATGGTCTCGGGCTGAATAGCACCGTTGTGTTGCAAACCATTGGCTATGCCGACGGGGCCAACTTTTACAAGAGACTACACAACCAAGCCGTAGGGTTGATCATCTTGGCGTGCGCTGGTGCGATCCCTGGCTATTGGGTTTCTGTCTTCACCATCGACACCCTCGGCCGTAAACCCATCCAGATTATGGGCTTCTTTATGCTCACCGTCATTTTCTGCGTGCTCGGCTTCCTGCTCCATCAGTTGACCGATGCTGTCTTTCTCACTTTATACATCACTGGCCAGTTCTTCTTCAATTTTGGCCCCAACACTACCACATTTATCGTTCCTGGCGAATGTTTCCCGACCCGATACCGTTCTACTGGACACGGAATTTCTGCAGCGATGGGCAAAGTTGGTGCCATCTTGGCGCAGGTTATCAGCATTCCTTTGCTCGCAAAAGACGTCCCTGGCGACTGCCACGGCGACCACTGCGCGCCCTGGCTCGACCGTCTCCTGGAGCTGTTTGCACTATTCATGTTTCTAGGCATGCTGTCGTCCTTACTCATCCCGGAGACCAAGGGCATGACCCTCGAAGAACTTGCCGGCGAGACACCAACATCCTACAACCGCGGTCGCAACGGCAGTATATCGCACTACCCACGCCCGCAATCGAAGTGGAATCCCTTCGGCGGTGGCCACCCCGCAGGGTTCCACTACCCACGTACAAGCACCGTCAAAGCAGCACGTGTCGGTATCATGACGTCGCCCGACCTCCTCGCAGAGGAAGAGCGCAGGAGAAGGAGTCAGACCCGGTTCTGGCGTAAGAGGCGGAGAGAAAGGGGCGGCGGCGGCAGCGGTAGCAGCATTGGCGGTGGCACGGACGAGTACCCGATGAGCATACGAAACAGCGGTGTATCTTCCGCATACACTGGAAGAAATATGGGCGCCGCTGACGAGCAGATGCCTGCCGATCCTGCGGCTCCCGGCGTTTTTCCGACATGGGGCGCCGGGTGGGGCCGGGTGGATCGCGGGGCGCAGCCGATGGAGAACGTCAAGTTACACGACGTGGGAAGCCTTCTGAGGCGGGATTCCCGCGCGTGATGGGAATATAAAAGGCAATTAGCGGGCGTACGGTTTTTTTTTTTGGTTAACCCTCCTGGATGGAGAATGGGGGATTTTCATGATGACGACCTTTCGCTGGATATGGATCTGTCTGGCTACCGTAGATAGTGTATGATTATAGCATCAAGACCGCCCACGCGGTGATTCAAGATTCGCTCTACAAGCATTATGAGGTGACTTTTGATCTTTATATCCTTCACTCATGTTCACATTCATGCCATGATACGCTAGGGATTGCTTGGATTAGCTCCCTCTGAGGGACGTAAAAGTCGACTGAAATACACAACGCGAAACAATCCAGCTGTTCGCCATCGCAATGAGCAACTTGATATACTTCATCAAAGATCAGACAGGCCATGTACAGAAACCGCTTCCCCCAATCTCCAAATCACTTACCCTGACTTAATGGCCATACTTGGTCCTATCCCACATAACCCCCCAAATAGCAGCCGTCATCTCCAAACTCGCCCTCACACCAACGAAAAACCTCAAACTTCCGCTTCAACCATTTCTCATTCGCAGAAAGCGTCACAGCCGGTGTGCGAAGGGAATTCTCAGCCACCTAATGCTGCAGCCTCCGTCGGATGATAGGGTAGCGCTCGACGGCGGAGCCGAGGGCCTCCCAGATGTCTCTCTGTGATGAGGTTTGAAGGAAGATATTTTATTACTTGAAGCCTCGGAGAATTCATACGCGATCAAGAATGGAGTCATGGACCGACCGTATCAGTGAATCGTGTCCTTATGTGGAATCAAATTTCATCTTATGTATTGTGGAATATGCAAACTCACGAGACGTGGTCCGCTGATTTGAGCTCATTGATCACAACGGGTTGTAGTAATCATTTACTTTATTTTGAAATCAAGGTATCCCACTTCAGTGAATTCATGTAAATTGAGATGGCTTTTTACGGGTGGGTTGGGGGGGGGGGGGGTCACAGTCTAACAGTTAGTCCACGAGATAGACTTGGGTGACTTGCGGTTTTATTAAGGCATACTGAGCTATAAAGAAAATGAAGAGCCGACACCTAAGTCGGAAATTTAATGGTAATCATGCTCAGATTCCTTGACGTTGTGTTGACCGCCTTGTTTGATGGAAGACAACCCAGCCGTTGGGAAATTGAAGACCAGTCTTCAGCATGAACTAGCCACTAGCTTCTCCCTTCTTGTCTAGAACATCCCTAAAGTTCTTTCAGATAGATCGAGGCATATCAAAAGTGTTCAAGCCATCGTTGATACATCGCAACAATGAGCTTCTTCCAAGTTGTTTTGTGAGTGAACTTCCCCTTTTGTGCGGACTGAGTTGCCAGTGCATGGTCACCAGGACAATTGAATAGTTTTGTGAGTGTCTAAATTCTCCAGTGGGTCCATAAAGTAGAAGCGTTTTGCTGCGTTCGAAGTGAAGGTGTATTTCCAGAGCATCTCAGACGCGTCCGACCTTGTCAACAGTCCCAGCAACCACACAACAACTTACCCTACTTTTTCCCAATTTTTCATCCCTCACTGCACAAGGACAAGCTTCCATCTGCAAATACTTTTCAGCTTTTTTTCCTCCTTTGCCTGAAGTCTTCCACACACACACACTTTGCGGAATCTTTCACCCTCACGCTTCCACCACCACAACAAAGCATCTCGACAAACACACACTCACCAAATTACAGTCGTCTTTCCGGTACAACCCCTCCAACTAGCATCAAATCTGCATTAATGCATTCAGACTAATACAAAGCTAACCATGCAGTACTACAGTGAACTGGAATTGCAGGGCGCCATGATTGCCATCGCAGGCCTAGGCCAGCTCTCAGCCTCACAGCAGCGCATGTGCGACGACCTCCTGCAGGCCCTCATCCCGCGCAACTACCCCGTCGACCCCGAAACTCTCGACAACGTCCGCCGTGAATTCTGGAACCGCGTCTTCGCCAAGGGCTGGACGACGAACAAGGAAAACAAGGCCCCGGGCCAGCTCCCCAAGCGCACCAACGACGAGGCCTCCCTCACCATCGGCACCCTCAACCAAGATGTGCCCAAGAACGGCAGCGTCCCGGGATACCGCCGCGCCGGCCAATCTGTCCTGCTGAAGGTCAGCATGAAGGTCGGCGATCGCTGGGAGGACGTCGATGCCAGTTTCTTCTGGGTCGATCAGCAGGGTCACCGCGGCTCCGAGCTCTCTAACGCTTCGATCGATATCGAGGGCGATCTCACTCTCGAGGAGGCCTCGGTCGAGGTCGGAATGCACTACGACACCAACGAGAAGGAGCGCGTCGGCGGCTGGAACTGGGACAAGGTCGTCTACTGGGGCCGCCTGCGTCTCCTCAACTTGGCTCTGCAGCTTAGAGTCGCCAACACCGAGGATACGAGTGAACTGAAGCAGGTTCGGCTGGTCGAGGAGCATTGGTTGGAGAAGGAGGAGCTTCGAAAAAACTTCTTGGTCCACGAGCAGCTTTTGAGGGGTGATTAAAGGGAGATGAGAAGACTGATTGATACCCGGATTATGGATGGAGGCTGGCTTTGCTTTTTTTGGGCCACATGGAAAGGGATGATCGTAAAAGCATAGCATGAACTCTTGATTTCGCCAGAACGCCTCAATACACGTACCCGGAGGTATTTCCATTTGCGTTTCTACTGCAAGTACTTGTCTAATGATGTAGTTCGTAAGATGGTTCCATCTAACGGAGGTCTTTTTCGATATCGGCCTGACATGATGAATTCTTATGGAAGATGCGTTCGACGTTTGCTCCTGGACAAAATCCTAAATATTTCATCTTTTGTTCCATTGAGCCTGCTGTTCCTTCATTTCCATTTCAAACATCAGCAAACCTGTCTTCCTGACTTCCAACTTTGGATCACATCAAAGCAACACGCTTGTTAGGCGCTGGGACTGGTCGCGCAAGGGGCAAAGGCTTGATAAGGCGCTTTCACGACGTACCAAGTACTCTATATATAGTATGGACTATCTCTTCCCTTCTTCTTTGAGTTTTACTTCTTCAAGTGGAACTCCCTAAGATGGCGTATATCATGCGACCATGGTCTTTATCTGATAGATTGGATAATGGAACTCGTTGTTCACCCAGGGATTCTTTGATTCACCCAGGTTTTCACACCATAAAAGCTCTCATTTCATTCTTCTCTTCCCATGTCTGATCATACAAACTCACAAAGAAGAATTCATTCAAATTTTCTGCCCTCCAACTTGAATAACTTTCAAACTTTTGCCAGTCAAACTCCATTGCTTTCTAACTCAACGTCAATATCACACGTCGGATGCAAGTAAGAATCTTCTACCAACAGATCTGAAGTCTTGGACTTTGGCGCCTGATTTGTTTTTGCTGAGAGGAACATCACCTGCTACTTCTCATCACAACACCTCTTGATTTCATCATGGCTTCCCCGGAACCACCTCGGTTCGCTGTCTCTGGGGCCCACCAACTCGACGATGTCGGAAAGAGGATTTTCGACAGCCTCATTGCTTGTGTGCTAATCTTTAACGACCCCCGACCACCGAATCTCGAGCTAACCATTGGAGGTTTCAGACCGATGCCAGAGATTGATGATAGTATCCGCGACAACTTCTGGAAGAGAGTCTTTGCTGGTGGCTGGGCCACCGACAAGCCCAATGTTTTGGAGCCTAGGTCGAATATGCAGGGAGAATTTCCTCGCCGCATGATCAAGCACGCCATCGTTGGCGAGTTATCAGATACCATAGAGTATGACGAAACAAAATCCACGTATCAGAGCACTGCTATTCTCGTGGCAGCCAAACCGGATATCCAGAACGACTTGGTAGACTTTGCATACTCTTACCAAAGCGGCTCAGTCTTCTCGGACTGTGAGAAGAGGCCCATTTTCAAGGAAGACAGCATGAACCAGCCCTCCCGAGTTCTAAAAGATAAAGCCGAAGCCATACGCGCTTGGGACGAAGCTCAGATGGAATGGCTTGGTGAATGGAATTACGAGAGAGCAACATACGCGGCCCGACGCCATCTAGTTGATCTGGCTCGCTACTATGGTGGGGATGATGACGGTGTCCTCTGTTGTGGAGAGCGTCATCCGCTGGAGAGTCTAGCTGGGATGAAGGAAGAAGAAACGCGACTCTTGATAGCGATCCAATCGAGCCGCGAAATTCTGAAGAGGACGAGGCTCAGACTGCTCGACAAGATTGCTTCGTTTCGTGGCGAAAAGGGCGAGGATGAAGCGAAAGGCACCAGGAGGATAGCCTACGGTCTTACACATGAGTCAAATGAGTCTGACGAGAACTCAGAAGAGCTGACCAGTCAGCTTCAGTGTCTTAAAGAGTTGGCAGACACGACTGAACTCCTGGCCGAAGTCGTGAAATATCCTCCTCCGCCTAACATTTGGTAGCGCAACTTGCAAGTAGCTCACTGGAACAACTTTTCGGAAAAGGCTGGATTAGACTTACATTGAGTGGTTTTCACCCATGTCGTTTTTTTTTATTGGAAAGATCCTGATGGCCGGACTAGAGAGGGCAGGCTGTTACATCGTAAATATCCCATCAACTGCTAGAAGGCGTCAGTATTACATCCAACTCTAATCCTTATCTAAATTTCCTACTCCATCTCGAACCTATTCATGGCCGAATGTAAGTGAGTCAGGGCTATTTCAAGTCTTCTGTTCATGTTGGTATCCCTATTACAGGGTAGTTGGTTCGAACCGTGGGTTGACGAAGAGATCAATTGAAATATATGAATTTCTGCGTAGTGTAAAAAGGAGGTTCTAACCGTAGGTTGGGCTGGCTACGATAATCGTAAATAGGGCCCCCAATTGGCCCCTGCGCAGTTGGCCGTATGCCGCGGTCGAATTGGACTTCCAATCCGACAGTTCAAGATTAATCCGAAAACGTCATTCCATTTTGTTCACAAAGTCTCCAAAGTCTAAGCTTCTGTCATTCCAAACAGGAACTCATACAACGCCCAAGCGCCAGGGTCGGGCAGGTCTTGTCCCGCCGCGTCTCCGACATACGTCGCCCTGCCAAATCTTGCCTTCAAATACCGGGTGGCCTCGGCCTTCTCAGCAGCGACCTTGACAGCAGCACCAAAGTCTCCTGACTTGACAAAGGCTTCCGAGAACGGAAGCAGCACATCCATAACGGTCCGGTCACCTTCCCGTGCCGGAGTATGAGACTTGAGAGACTCCACCGCTGAAGCTAGAGACGAGGCATACAACATCGGTGAGAATGATGTCGTGGATGCGGAGTTAGCTTGCGCTTCGGATCGAAGTGACGAGGAGAAGGCGGAAAGAAGGATTCCAAGAATGGCCCCGAGAGTTCCCCCCATATCGTCGACAGCTTCGATCGTCGATTCCAAAAAGGCGAAGACGGAACCGCTAGCCGCTGAACCGTTGTCAAGATTGCGCAGCAGTGACTCGCACAGGCCCTTGACCGCTTCACCACAATCGCCGTCGCCCATCACCATGTCCCATTTGGTCAAGTTCGGCTCGGCGGCGATCGCCCGTTCGCAAGCTGATCTGATGACTTTTTCCAACAGCTTTGGATCGACTTTGACGAGATCTGACTTCTGTTCGTGACCGTTTGTAGTACTAGCTTTATCTGTCGTCAGACTATTCGTCTTCTCGTCGCCTGTTACTGGTCGAACCGTATTCGGCCAGTAAACTGCACTCGTGGGACGATCGAGAAGCTGGAGCAGCTCGGTAACTGCTGACTTGCACTGCCGTGCTGCAGCCGAAATGTTGCAGAGTGAAATGGAAAACCCAGGCGCGTTGAGAGACGTTTCAAAGGTACCAACTTGTGTTCGTATGGGGGTAATTGACCAGGTCGACGCCAGCTGAGTCTGTACTTCATCCGTGAGTGCGCCAAGCTCCAAAATTGAGAGTCCGCCGTAGTTGTTGATGAGAAGAGTGACTTCATCTCCGTTCTCAAACGACACGAAGGCTCTTTCCGTATCATTAGGGTCGCATAAGAGCTTCAGCATCCTGTCCACGAGATCGTTTACTGATGGAAAAGGGGTAATGAGCTGTTGGCCTGGCTCATTGTGGATGCCAGCACCAACAACGCAGACATCTTCTGCAACAGAGTGATATTGACGTCCTGGAACATGGCAGTGATCTAGAGCTGAGCCTATCGAGACAGTCTGGTCGTTGACGGCCTTGCCGATCTCTACACACTGTTCAAAAGAATACTTCTCAGCCGCTGCCGCACCGAGGATCTTCATAGCTGGTACCGGTTAACAACATTCCATATGGCAAGGTGATTGAACTCACTGAAAATATGACCTGGCATTCCTCTTCTTCCCACCCTGCTACTCTTGCTCCTGCCAATGGAAACATCGTCCGTAGCAGGGAGAACAACAACTTTGTCGGACAAACCAGAGGCTTTTGCCCTCTCCGCAGCGAGTCCAAAGTGAAGCCTATCACCAGTGTAGTTGGTGATGAGAAGGATAGTCCCCGCATCAGAAGGCGCCAGCCTCATCGCCTCAAGAACTTGTTTTGTACTCGGCGAGGCGAAGATGTCGCCGCATGCGACTGCTGAGAGGAGACCTTCGCCGACGAACCCGCTCCATGCCGGCTCGTGACCTGAGCCGCCACCGCCGATGATGCTTACGGTCGACCGATCATTGTGAGAGTTTGCAACGACACGTTCTGCCTCACTGAGAGTGAGATGAGGGTTTGCCGATACAAGAGCGCGCAGAGCTCTTGGGACGAGCGTATTCGCAGCTGTGTCGGGGAAATAATGTTTTGTCGCCATATTGAATGTCTTTGAACCGAGAATATTCAGATGTCACCTAGAAGCCATTGCCATGGACAGGAATCCGGATATATGGTACGGGTAACGTCTTCCGTGTTAACCATAGCTGCCAGTTCCCCTCCATTGTAACCTCTTCATCTTCAGGTGCAACCACACATAGATCCTCATCCTCGTACTCAGAACGCCAACTTGACGCGCCTCGAGCCATACGGGTATCCCGATGTCTGATTAATTCCTACAACACTAGCCTCACTCAGCTCTTCTCAGGTTCCGAAGCTTCGTAAACGAGAGGAGCTACAAGCGAGTCAGTCCAGGCCCCCGAGACGCGCACCCGTAGGCAAACAAGACTGGAACTAATACAGGGTACGCTATCTACCTAGCTCACTTATCCCTGCCCCCCCGGCGCTTTGTTGGGGAAATGGCAATGGTTCGTTTTCCCCCGCGAGTCCCCGCACAAAAATCCCGCTCAAGTTCCCAGCTCGGCAATGCAGCTCATCAAACTCCACGGACAAGTCCCGACATCCAACTTCTTTGCAACCGAGTGCGAAGGGTCGGCGACGCTCCGCTGCTTCGCACAACTCGGAAATAGCTGTGACAGCTCGCACTCCGTACCTAGCTCTTTCCACTAGGTCACGTAGTGGTTCCAGTCCCATGGGTCGCTAGCCCCCGCATACCGTAAAGTCTTAACTCAACCCTGCTCGAACCGCGTCTCGCAGTCCTTTCATGCAAGGAACCGAGATTCGTACACAACCGCAAACACGACGATAGGCCTGCCATGACCTCATGGATGGAAGACGAGCTGCATCCGCGCCTCCCAAGAAGCGCGTCAGAAAGCCTCGGGGCCGTGGTCTACGCACCAAAACGGGCTGGTGAGTTCAAGCCTCCCCGAGCCGCACTACCCTCGACGCGCGGGTTGCTGACCTGTTGCACATAGCTTAACTTGTCGTGAGCGACACAAAAAATGCGACGAACAGCAACCGGTCTGTGGGCCGTGCAGCATCTCGTCTCGTCACTGCGTCTTCCCCCGTCTATCTCAGGACGCGGGCAGAAGAGCAAGCCCAGCTGCTTCACATAACGACCGCCCGACCGCGCGTCTCGGAGACGATGGCAGTCATTCCCACGTCGATGAGCTCCCACAATCGATCGGCTCGACAGGGTCCATCAGCCTCGAGTCGCAGACGTCGATGCAGCACGTCTCCCAGCCTCCCGGGACGTATGACGCAGCCCACGCGCCCTACGTGAGCCAGCCGCGCGTATCGGCGGGAGTTACGTTCGGCGATGTGTACAGCTACTCTCCCGAGACCGTCGCATCCGAGCTTTGGACCACCGATCTCGCCTCGACGCGATGGCTCGGTCTGCTCGCCACCGACGCGGCGCAGGCAGACAGCGGCTTCTCACTCGCACCGAGCCCCGCCCCGGAGGATGAGGAGCAGAGGCGTGCGGCGGACCTGCATGGCCCGCCCGATGCAACCAATCTCGAGTCCCGGCTTAACGAGGTATCAGATCCAGAGCGGAAGACTTGGCAGGCGGATCGCGATATCACGCTGTCCAACCGGGAGGCTGTACTCTTTCGTCACTTTACGGAACGATCGGCTCGTTGGTTGGACTTCTTGGATCCGCAGAAGCTCTTCTCCACCTATGCAGTTCGGCTGGCTTTGAGAAATGCAGGTCTCATGAATGCAATCTTGGCATTGTCGGCCAAACACCTCTCAAAACTGGAAGGAGGAGGCCACCGGAACTCCAACGTGAGCAATGGAGACACGGAGGAGGATTCCGGCGGAGAATGGGTTCGATACTATTACGAAACCCTCCGCTATGTACAAGAGGCATTAACGTATACCAGCTATACTGCTTCAGAAGAGCTCAATGCCACGGCAATTGTGATCTCAGCGTACGAGATGTTGGACGAATCAGATGGCAGAGGCAACTGGCAACGGCACCTGAAGGGCGTCTTCTGGATTCAGCGATCTCAAGACGTCAACGGGGCCTCCGGCGGACTGCGACAAGCAGTCTGGTGGGCTTGGCTCCGCCAGGATATATGGGCTGCTTTTCGGGAGAAGAGGCGTTGCCTGAGCTTCTGGGCTGCGGACAAAGACTTTTGTGAGCTTGATCCGCACGGTCTAGCCGACAGAGCCATTTACCTGCTCTCGCGAGCCGTCAACTACTGCGCCTACTCTCGACTGATGGAGTCATCGTCTTTGACCGAGGTTTCGGCTTCGGGGAACAGGGCGAGGGCTGGGAGCGAAATGCTAGCTGAGATGGAGCGATGGAAGTCGTTTCTGGGGACCGAGTTTAAACCCCTCCCAACTTCAGCAAGTCCGTCCAATGTCTTCAAGCCGCTTTGGATCCACCCACCCCAATTTGGAGTTGCTCTCCAGGCTTACTCATTCGCAAAGATACTCGTTCTTCTCCACAAACCAGTATCATCCGGGTTTGATGGGTATATGAAGATGCAACGATCGCTCTCAGAGGCTGTAGATACGATCTGCGGTATTGCAATGGAGTTGACAGACGAAGGCTGTCAATTACTCTCAGCACAGTGTCTGTACGGGGCGGGCTTATGTGTACAAGACTCGCTAAAGAGAAACACCATTCTCTCTCTAATTGAGAGAAGCGAAGGAAGAGTCGGGTGGACGCCGATGGCAACGTGGCGAGATGACTTGAGAGAGGCTTGGGCAAATGCCGATAGTCAAAGTCCGGACGTAATGCGTTGAAGTTTCGCTATTGGCTGTCTATATTATACCCCTGAGGGCAGAAGCAGTTTGGATTACTTGAATCTCACGCCTTTCCGGCAGACTTACACACATCCATCTGCCACTCCGTCAACTTCTGGGCTTCCCTAACCCCTTCTTCCATCAACGTTGTCAGATTCTGGCTCGAGGCGTTCTTTTTCAAATGAACCAAGTAGTCGTCAAGCACAAGCTTGTTCACATTAACCTTAGACACGCCACCAGCGATGCAGCGCTGCATCAGGTCTTCGGGGAAGTCGTTGGTTCCGTGAAGCACGACCCGAACTCTTCCATCCACCTTTTCGCGAATCTTCTGCAGCCTTTTGTCACACACTAGATAAGCAACGGCTCTGACTGAGTGTCTAAGGGGGTGATTGATCTTACCGGTCAAACTCCAACACGGGTCCCCTGGCGCCATACTCACCATGCACATTACCAAATGCCGGCGCCAAAAAGTCGATACCAGTAGCGATGAAGTCCTCCACCTGTTCTTCCGTCGTCAAAGCCCCCTCAAGGTCCGCTGTATCCGCTATACCATCCTCGCCGCCCTCGATACGTCCCGGCTCAGCCTCGGTCGCGACACCTCTCTCATGGCAATACGCCACCAGCTCCTCTGTCTTGGCCAAGTTCTCATTCATCTCGTAGTGGCTCATATCCACCATGATACTGTCAAACGGCAATGTATCCGCCGCGTGTCTGATCATGGCTTCATCCTGTGCGTGGTCGAGGTGAATGGCAACAGGTACTGAGGCGGCGCGGGCCGCATGCGCTGCCGCATGGACGAGAAGACCTGATGAGAAGGTGATGGCCCATGGGAATACTTGGATGATCAAGGGGCTCTTCTTTGCTTCGGCGGCGCGGATGAAGGCGAGGATGTTCTCGATGTTGTAGGCGATGGGCGCGACTACGCCATATTGGCCTACCTCGGCAGCTTTGAGAATTTGATATGTCTTGTTCTTTGAAGGATCCCACGATGCCATGTTGACCTTGATGTGTATATGCACTCAAATGTTGTGTGCTAAAGTTATGGAGGTTCAAGTAAATCCGTGAATAAGGCGGCACTGGGTAGTTTCCCCGACAATGGAGTTTGAGTTGCTAGAAAGCCTCATGTAAGTCGAAATAGCCTCCTGTCTATATGAAGCGATTTCACGCTTGATACTGCCTACCAGTAAGCGTCGTGATCTGGTGCCACTGCCTCGGTGCCCAGAGAATCACACTAAGCTAGGAGAAGTCTCGAGCCGGCGTATGCCCACGACTCGCGGTCGCCAGCCCCACTGGCCCCGAGGCGCGGACTGATGACCCATGCACAAGCTTATGTTAATGCCTTGCAGACATCAATAACATCTGGTTGCTGTCTGATCAAGTGCTAGGAATGGTGAGACCTAAGATTCAGTCTGTTTCAATCTCGCGACATTAGAATCAGTCACCGAAACCCCGTCGTTTGCTAGTCGCTTCATCCGTGAACGCGGCTTCATCCTTTCTTGGTACTCCTCTGCAAACCTCTTCATCTTACCGAGCTTTGTTTGACACCAAGCAAGCCAATAATACTTCTTCTTCTTCTGCAGTACTCCTCCTCGAACTTTGAAAATGGCTGTAACCAACGGTCTCCGTATTGCCGTGGGCGGAGACGACGCCGGCTTCGACTACAAGGCCACAATCTCCAAGGACCTGGAAGCTGATCCGCGTGTGAGCACAGTCGTAGACTTTGGTCCCAACTCTGCAACAGACAAGACAGCATACGCGCACTTCGCTCTTGCCGCTGCCGAGGCCGTCGCCAGCGGCAAGGTCGACCGGGCCATCCTCATCTGCGGCACGGGGCTTGGGGTCGCCATCTCAGCGAACAAAGTGCCCGGCGTCCGGGCAGTGACGGCGCACGACAGCTTTTCAGTGGAAAGAGCAGTCAAGAGCAACAATGCGCAGGTGTTGTGTCTTGGTCAACGCGTTATTGGGATTGAGCTCGCGAGACGTTTGGTTGGTGAGTGGTTGGGATACGAGTTTGATCCCGTAAGTTGAGACTCCGGCTTCTTTTACACTTAATGACCTTTATCAGCTGACATTATCCTCTAAAGGCGTCTGCATCAGCAGCAAAGGTGAAAGTCATTGATGACTATGATCTGAGGCAGTCGGGTGGGATCAAGGCATGAAGAAGGCGTTGGGGGTGACAGCCCGAACAGAAATATCTAGAGAAGAGGCTTGATACCTTGCGGCTGGTCACCTGATATAGGAACCAAAGGTCTTGAGAATCATCAAAAAGAGTTTGCCCCCCGGTGCTGAATTGGGGCTACATCTCTTGGTGCTCATGCCGGGATTCGAACTCGGGTGCTCGCTAAGCCTGTCGTCGAGTAGGCTGGTTGGCGTATAAATCGATTGTTGACCATAAATCACTCCACCACCCAGCCAGTTTGACCCGACCCGTCGACCTAGACGGGCGCCTTCTGGCTGGTGAGAGGATTGGACTTGGAGGGGTATATGAGGCACTTCACCTTCTCGGTGTATTCCGATTCTGGGAGTATTCGGCTCTAAGCTTACGTACAATTTACATGCCCCAATACCACAAAGTAACTCAACAAAACAAACTTCCTGTAGCTCTGATGCAAAATATTTACAAAGGAACTGTCACATCTCGGCGCTTGCAAATAACCTTGAGGTCTGGGTCGGCTTCCTCCGCAAATCCGTGCTTCCGCAACTTAATCTTGTACGAGTTGTCATACTTCCAATCGTACTTCAGGAGCAGATGAGCGATGATGATCTTTGCCTCACTGGCCGCGAAGAAGCGTCCCGGACAGCTGTGCTCCCCATGGCCGAAACCAAGATGGTTGACGCTCGTGGTCACCAGCTGAGCAGCAGCCTCCTGCCCTGGCTTACCGCTCTCCCGCATACGTAGGAAACGGTAGCCGTCAAACTCGTTGGGGTTCTCGTAGAATGCCGGGTCCCTCATTCGTTCCGTCGAGACTGCAACAGTGTGACCCTTTGGAATCTTGGTGCCGTCGGACAACGTAACGTTGGCGGTGGCTTGCCGGAACATTGAGGCTACCGAAATTGTTGGTCAGCCAAGAACTATGTGCTGGTACCGAATCGAGTCTCGGGATATTTTGGATCACTTACAAATCTGGTTGGGCTTGAGGCGTTGGCTCTCATTGAGAACACTATCGAGAAGCTTCATGTTGTAAAGCGCCGTTTTCTTCCACCCCTCTTTCTCGAGACATCCGGTAATCTCCTCTCTCAAAGGCTCAATTAGCTCGGGGTGCTGAAATATATCGACCAAGGCCTGCGTGATGAGATCAGACGTCGTGCCGATGGATACGACCGCCAGCATCAGCTGCGACGCCCCAAAGTTGTACGGCTTCCCAGCAGCAAGCTCCTCGAACCAGTAGATGGTGTCGTTGTACTCCTTGCCGTCATTCTTAGCGTGGCGCGCCTCCAGCTCGGCAGCGACGAGATCCCAGGCCTCCTTCACCTGAGCTTTAAGGTCTCTGCATTCGGGAATCCAGTTGGTGGCCATGGTCTTGAGAAAACTGGGCCAGAGGCGCAATTTGCGCATGCCCAAGACGCTGTTCTCACCGTAGTTCACGACGAGGTCGAGCCAACGCTCGTTGCGGCATAAGTTCTCGCCGGCAAAGACGCGAGCTGACATTCTTGAAATGAGGCGGATGATCAAGTCTCTGAGAACAATCTCTTGTGGTTCTATCTTCAGTGTCAGTCTTTGCTCTATTTTTGACCAAGTCTTTAAATGTTTGCAGCACCTTTTGCATCGCCGAGAAACTCTTGAAGTGTCACTGAGCATTCATCTGACAAAGGCTGGGTGACCTTGGCTACATATGTGTTCTCTTGTTAGTCACGTATTCATCAGCAGAGCAGGAAGAAGGCACCAGCAACTGACCTAGAGACTTGGTGACACGCAATTTAACCACATTTTGCAGAGGCTTTGTAGGAATGGCGCCCTCCATGAAAGGTTCGAATCCAGGATACCTCGCCTGGAACAGCTGCACGGGGAATATGTTCAGCAATACGACACGAAACCTCATCGCCACTGACACTGACACAGCCAGAGTCACGATAATGATGATGACGAAGGATATAAATCATGAAGCTTACTTCGATAATAGGCTCGTCAACGCTAAAGCGAGGATCGTTGCGGATCTCCTCACCGTGCTGCGGCAGAAGCATGATGAATTTACCCTGGTCCGTCAAGACGCGAAACGGCGTAGCCCCGAATCTTCGCCTGGCCTCTTCGAGAAGTTCGCGCCCAGCTAAGGCAAACGACATAATAGACTCAGAGGCGGTCAGTTGAAACCATTTCTGTGGGTTGATGATGGGCAGTTTCTTGGCGTCGTCGTTGCGCAGGAGGCCATATAGTACAACGACCAAGGCAAGACCCAATAGAAAATGCGATTGATAGTCTCTGAAGCCTTCATATTGGCCGGCTACGGCTTGCGTGCTCGAGGTGGCGTTGTCAAGGAGCGTCATTGCACAAATATGTGACTTCGAGATGTGGGAACAGCTGTTGGCTCGAACGGTATAATGAGATGATGGAGATAGATCTGATGCTGACCTGCTGGGGAAAGGGTTGACATTCACTACGGAATTGGAAGCATTTATATGGATTTTGGGCTCGACAGATGATTACCATCATGATATGAGTGTTCAAACGGCCAGACAAAGAAAACGATGGGTTTGACTAAATGCTGAACGGACTTTCGGACATGATATGGCTCCGCACTGTAACTGAGATTCAACTGAGCTGCGATCGATGTTACGGAGCATTTTCCATTGAGGGGCTAAGTGAATACTAGCGTAAGTAGCAGGCGTCCGGGCACCAATCATTTTACTGGCATTTCACCGCAGTCCATAAATGGTACCGTGCAGATCATCGTGAAGCCGGTGGGATACTTCAGGTTCAAGAACTGTCTGAGATGACGTGGAAGCTCAGAAAGAGTTTGTAGGAACTTCGGGACTTAGGGAATCGCCGCTCCCTGAAGACTATTTTGAGTTGTAAGGATTAACGACGGCTAGATAGTCAAAAGTTCGCATACTACCACAGTATACATGTTTGTATTGAGGAAATCCCTTCGATGCTCAGCCGTCAGGAGAAGACTCCACATTCCCGAGCTCCTCGAATACATCAACTATTTCCACATGCATCAATCTACTCATTATACGTCATTGACTCTCTTAACATTGGGACCGGGTATCTTTTCCATCTCTCTTTTTCTACCAAGCACCAACAATGCCTGCTATGGGAATATCGATACCTGTTGTGTACGAGGCCGTCTCGCTCAACAAGTAGACATACGCGCCGCCCAGCTCCTGAGGCAGTGCTAGACGCGGCATCCCACCGTAATACTTCATCTTGGTGTCCCAGTCAGGGGAAGTCTCAACGTAGTACGTCAACGCAGTCTTGACGAAGCCAGGCGAGATTGAGTTGACCCGGATGCCATGCTCGGCCCACTCCATGGCCAGCGTATGTGTCATGTTGCGGATGGCACCCTTGGTCGCACCATACGGTGCAGAGGGAGCGGCCTGCAAAGCAAAAAATGGTCAGCCAGTCAGTCAGGGAAACTCCCCCATCTTCCATCACCTCAACCATCACACACATGCACACAAGGACTTACCCGGTTCGGTCTGTACGAAGTCATGCTCGCAGTGAAGACGATGCTCCCCTTGCACCCGAGCTTGATAAACGCCCTCGCGGCGGCCGTCGCACAATTCCAAGACCCGTTGACGTTGAGCTTGAAGAGCCGGTCAAACTGCTCCGGCGTGAAGTCGAGCGCGGGCTGGTGCTTGGTCGCGCCGGCGTTGGCGACCATGCCGTCGAAGCGACCCGTCACGGCCACCACGGCGTTGACGGCCGCCGCGACGCTCCCGTAGTCCGTCACGTCGCAGTGCTGGAACGCAAGTTTGCCGGGGAACCGCTTGAGCAGGGCGGCGAAGTGCTCCCCCGGCTCGGTGATGTCCAGGCTGTAGACGCACGCGGCGTCGTTGGCGAGGCAGACTTCTGCGATGCCTAGGCCGATGCCCTGGTTTGCACCCGAAACTTTTCGTGGACGGCGTTAGTAGGTGAACAGCCTCCCTGCTTTATATTGCATGAGGGCACTCACTTGCGATGACTTTGTCCTTGAGAGAGACCTTCCAGTCAGCGCCGGCTGGAGGCAGTGTGCTGAGATAGGCCGGAGCATCATTTGTGCCGTTGGTGGTGCCGTTGGTGGGGATTGCGGCGGTCCCGTTGCCGTTTTGGTCAGATGAGCCAGTCATTGTGAAGGTGTTGATGTGTGTGATGCGCAGAACAGAACGATTGAAGCCGGCTTTGATTCAGATGCAACGACTAACAGAGCTGGTGAATTGACTTTTAGATGGTATAGTAAGCTGAGAGATACAGAACACCTTTCCTTGCCTTAAGTAAACAGAGGAGCGGGCGAGGGGAACGTTGATGAACGCAAGACTTCCCGGCGCCGTGGGGTTCGTCAGAGATCCAACACCAGGAGGCTCCCGACACGCGGTCCGGTGCGGATGCAGCTTCCGGATCGGCTGTAGACGGGTCGTCGCGTGGTAACTCCGGACCGTGTTTGTCACTCACAGCCGCATGTTCCTCAACTTCTTGCACATACGATAAAGATACCACGAGCCGTGGTTCGCATTGCAGGTTGCAAGCCACTCCCAGGAAACCGCTTGCCTCGAGACGCGGTCCTCCTAAGAACTGGGCTAGTTTCGATTATTCCCAGCCCCATTCTTTTTCACTGTCCCCGAGTCGCGGCAGCACGCCCTCCCTCTGACTTGCGCTAGTTTGCTAGTTGATTGCTCTTCCGGGGTCTCCCTCCCCCAGACCCCGCAAAATTCGGAAGATTCGTCTGAGGGCCCCCGGTTCCCCAGATTGGGGGAGAAAACATGCCAAATGACTTAGTTCAGATGATCTACGAATCCTCGTTGGTCGTACGACCACCATACGAAACCAGGCTGCCTCTAGGCAAGTTGCGTGTAAGCTGGCAAGGGCGGCACGCCGCACTCAAGACCGAGGCAGGTTTTCCATCAAAGCTGACAAGTATTACTCGGACGCTATCGGTAACAAGTCTCGTTTTGATCATTCTCTTGTCTCGGCCGAAGCAAATATACGAGAGTTAGGGAGGCAGTTGTGAAATACATAAGACGCTTTTCCTTGCCAGTTGCTCTAGGTTGGCTTTCGGTTGGCAACTCCGGGCATCTGTTTGGAACTCTGCTTCTATACTTCTTTTATCCAAAAGTTCTCTTGAAGATTTCAAGAGTACCAAAGGGGTCTTATTACCAAATCCTGAGTCAACTCACAGAACGTTGTCGACAATGGAGAAGAACGAGACTGCAAGCAAAGAGCATGAACATGCTCTCTCCAAGGGCGAGGAGCTGGTGGGCGTAGACGACTATGTCGCCGACAGCGATGAAGAGAAGAAATTGGTCCGCAAGATCGACCTCTACTTGCTTCCTCTAATCTTCTTTATGGTTCGTAACTTGATCAGAACAATTCTCTCGAAAATACGCCCCTAACATCGATGATTTAGTATCTCCTATCTTACATGGACAGAACAAAGTACGCTCTCACCAAAACACAACCTCGAACCCCATCAACTGACAATATCCGCAGCATCGGCAACGCCAAAATCGCCGGCATGGACCGCGACCTCGACCTCGACTCCTCCCGCTACTCAATCGCCCTCGTCGTCTTCTTCGTAGGCTACGTCCTCTTCGAAGTCCCCTCCAACATGATCCTAACCCGCACCCGCCCCTCCCTCTACCTCCCCGGCATCATGTGCCTCTGGGGCTCCGTCACCATCGGCATGGCCTTCACCCCCACCTACAAAGCCCTAATCGGCTTCCGCGTCGTCATGGGCGTCCTCGAATCCGGCTTCGCTCCGGGCGTTTTGTTATTGCTCTCGTCGTGGTACAAGAAGGAGGAGCAGAGCAAGAGGTTCGCCGTCTACATCTCGGCCGCCATCTTGTCGGGCGCCTTTGGCGGGTTGTTGGCGGGTTCCATCACGAGCGGGCTGGACGGGGCGCACGGCATCGCCGGGTGGCGGTGGTTGTTTGTCGTTGAAGGGGCGGCGACGGTGGGCGCTGCGTTGGTTGCGTTTTTTGCGCTGCCTGATTTCCCGGCGAATACTTCGTTGAAAAAGTTTAGTGAAAAGGAGAGGGAGCTGGCGATTCGGAGGCTCCAGAGTGCGGCGGAACATCTTAGGACGGAAGAGGAGCCTCGCCTGGGACATTGGGCTGCCTTTAAGCTCAGCATGATGAGCTGGAGGACTTGGCTCTTTGTCGTTGGCTACATGGTGAGTTTGTTTTTGCAGACCAAATAACCCCCTTTCCACGATCAAAGCTAACATCTTCCCTTCCACCACAGGCCATCGTCGGCTCCTCAACACTCTCCTACTTCTACCCGACCCTCGTCTCAGGCCTCGGCTACAAATCCACAGCCGCCCAATACATGACCATCCCCATCTTCGGCATCGCCTTCGTCTCCACCGCCGTGACGGGCTACTTCGCCGACCGCCACTCGCGCTTCCGCGGCCTCATCCTCGGCGCCTGGATGACCGTCGCCATGCTCTGCGCCGTCGTCACCTGCGTCGTCTACGACTTCAAGGCGCGCTACGCGCTGCTCGTCGTCATGGCCTCCGGGCTCTGGGCCTCCAACGGACTCGCGCTCTCGTACGCCTCGGTGAGCTTCGGGTCCATGCCCAACGAGACGCGGGCGATTTCGCTGGCGTTTGTGAATGCCATGGGAAACCTGGCGCAGATTTACGGGGCGTACCTGTTCCCTTCCAAGGATGCGCCTAAATATCTGATGGGATTTGGGGTAATTAGCGGGTTGTGTTTTACGGGTGTGGTGTCGTATGTTGCGCTTCACGTGTTTTTGAGGAGAGAGATGAGGTCGGCATGATTGCTCTTGCGTGGACTGGGTCGTAATGTAATAGGATTAATTAAAACATGTCTATTAAGAATCTACTTTCCGTAGAAGTCAGACGCTTGGTTTAAAAGCTGACGTTACACAAAAGCAGCTGGAAGTGCCCTTTTTATGCGGAATTACGCCACACTGAGACATCAGACAACATAGCTGACCTATAGGGTGCAAGGTCATCTTCGTTCTCTCCTTAGCATGAAAACTCAGAGACATGTGCGTGTCTTACTGTCACAAGCACTACTAAGAAAGACAGGTCCGTGTCTAGACTTCATAACGTCAAACTCTTCATCTCCCTAGTCGTTGTAGCCAGATCAGCCGCACCCGAATCCATTGTCTGTTCCACACGGACTTTTTGTCACCTTCTGAAAAAATAAGTATTCCTTTCCTTGTACTTATTCTTTGCGCTTACAATACGCCTCCCAAAGCATATTCCGTAATGGACACAAGGCAGAGAGAGCGGAAGAATCTATACGGCTAATTTATAATTTGCTTCGGCGCCCCGCCACGACAGTGCTAGATCGCTACACGGCGATGACTTCCGGCGGTT